CAAGGTGACATCATTTTGAAGCAAAAACACTACGCTACAAGATCCAGTTCTCAAAAGTCTTGTGCACAAATGTTCTTTGTGTGTTTCATGGCCTTGTTTCAGTGACTTCAAAATTTTAGTTTTTCACTAACCACGCATAAACATTTCTTTCTCAAAAACACAAACACATAAAAACATGCTCCTATGGGTATTATTGTAGCCCAAATTGTGCTGTTTACAATGTTACCACACTTTAGCCATTTATATGTTTTTAAGATACTGAAAACAACACAAATGTCAGAGCATGTCCAAACTTCTTCATAGCCCCAAAACACCCTCAGACCCCAGAGGGTTAACTAGCAGTTTATTAATGGTCTATTAACTAGTTGTAACGCATAGTTATTCTAAAGTGTTACCAAATAAATGAATCAATAAATAAATAAATAAATAAATAATGAGGCTATTTATTAGGAATTGAAATTCAATATTTATTATTTTTTGTTAGAGAATGAAAAAAAAAATCTTACTTTAATAATAATAATGCGTTAATTATTAATAATAATAATACACTGTTAAGACAGTTGGGTTAAAAATAACCCAACATATAACCCAACTATAGGTTGTTATAGCACCTTCCAAACTATGGGTTAGGTTAACCCAGGGGTCGGCAACCCGCGGCTCTAGAGCCGCATGCGGCTCTTTAGCGCTGCCCTAGTGGCTCCCTGAAACTTTTTCAAAAAATGTTTGAAAATGGAAAACGATGAGGGAGGTAAATATATATTTTTGTTTTAATATGGTTTCTATAGGAGGACAAACAATCTTAACGTTTTCCAACGCTGTAAAAGTGTATAGAATATTTAATTTCAACATTTCTGTCAACGAAGATTTGCGTCATAGCCTGCGACACACGTTTCTATCAGCAGGACGGGATGCCAGGCAGGTAGCTGTTGTAAACAAACCGGCGGCTGTGTGATGCGCCATGGAGCGCAAGCTGTCTTTGCCAAAGATGTACAGCGGGGCACGCTTTCTCATTTTCCCTCCCTGAGAGAATTCAAAGAAGCCCATCCCGATCACTAACTCAACGGTGATTATTTACAAGGTGCGATCGTTGATATGCAAACTGCATTTGGGAGCAGATTTTGTGAGTTGCGAAAGGAAAAAACGAGACTGTCTTTCCTTGACACACACCCTTGGAGATTGACCCTTCCTTGTTGAGCACATTCCCAGGAATGACTCGAGCTGATCTTGAAATGGAAATGGCAGGGTGCGTTTTATTGCACTGTTTGTTGTCCAGATAAGGGGCACGTTGTGCACATTCATTTTGATGTTGTTTTTTTGAATCCTCAAAATAAAAAAAAACATTAAAAAATCTGATTTCTTTATTGCATTTCTTTAATTTCATCAAAGCAAAACATAATGCAATAATATTGTAATGAAGTTAAACTTGATCATTAAACATACTTCATTAATATTGTAATGAAGTTAAACTTGGTCATTAAACATATTTCATTAATATTTGAATGAAGTTAAACTTGATAATTAAACAATGCATTAATATTGTAATGAAGTTAAACTTGATAATTAAACATAATGCATTAATATTGTAATGAAGTTAAACTTGATCATTAAACAATTCATTAATATTGTAATGAAGTTAAACTTGAACATTAAACATAATTCATTAATATACTGTAATTAAGTTAAACTTGAGACGGCATCGTACAACAGAGTAGTCACGTGGCGCGTCATTCTCTACAGGATGCACTGCAGGGAAATGAACATTTAATCATGAAGGCTCAGTATGTATTTGTAGCCAACGAAGTCATTTTTTTAGTAGGCTAATATAGCTAATATAAATACATATAGCATGTGTTGCCATCATTATAATGCTTATATAAAGCCTTTAATTTTTTGCGGCTCCAGACATATTTGTTTTTGTTTTTTTTGGTCCAATATGGCTCTTTCAACATTTTGGGTTGCTGACCCCTGGGTTAACCCAATGCTTTGGGTTATATTGATTAAATATTATTATTTTTTCCATTCCGGTATTACTATTGCTACTATTACTAATATTACTATTAATTTTATAATTATGGCTGTGTAAATACATGCAAGAATATTGAAAATGCTTTTTTCCATTCCATTTTATTTCCAGACACTTTAGTTAAAATAAAGACTCACAAACAAAGAAGAAGCAAAACAAAATGCAGACAGTTATAAAATGTGCAAACAGAAAATCCTGTGGTGATGCAGCAGAATATGGAGCTCTGTGTGCTGAAGAGACTGTCCAGCAGCTGCAGCAGGCTTCACTCAGTGTTCACAGTGTACAATACATTTTAACTACATCCAAACACTTCTAAAAGATGGATGGTAAAACGGATATAAGAAAAAACACGATACCGAGAGGTAATTTGATAAAAAAATAACAACAATACTATTGTGTTAGAGCTTAAATAAACTTTATAACGCAAAAACAACATAACACACGCATAATTCAGTTGTTTTGTGTCAGTTAAATCCGTTGACTGTTGAAATTTAAACTTTTAACTCAACTGGTTAAGTTATTAAAAAAAATAACCCAATAAAGGTTAAAAATAACCCAACAAAGCACCAAATATGTTTAACTCAACCATTGGATTAAATAAATAATTTTTAGAGTGTAATTAATACATAGGATATTGTTTATTTATTTTTTGATTTATTGAAAAGTCTGTACTTTTACAATTTGACATATGCAAATCACTGCGGAAAGAACCAACAGGCCCATGTCATATACAGTAGGCTACATTTCTTAATAAATAACCTGCTACAAAATAAAAGCATTAACGTATGGTATGTTTTTTTGTTTTTTTTTCATAAGTTTTGGAGCATATACTAGCTTTAAAGACGTAAAAAAAAATTCTGCTCGGCTGTGTTCAAAATGACATCAATGTGTTTCAAACTGCAAATGGAGCACAATTGTAAACATGAAGGTCGCTAAAACTGAACTGTAAAAATACTTTGAAAGCAAATTACACCTAAGAGAGACTACTTTAAAACTTTTTTTTTTAAAGTTCCAAGTTTAAATGTTAGAATGTTCTAAACAAATAGGGCATAGGGGGATAACTGGGAATAGAACACAGCAAGGAACTATGTTTCTAACTACAGCTCCAGAGGTGGAGTTGCAAGTGCGAATGTCAGTTGGAACAATGGATTTGGGGAAACAATGAACTATGTTTGCAACAACAGAACTTGCGACCTTAGTTGGTTATCGATGGGTTTCGGAAACGCACCCCTCATATAGTATTTTGTACAATAATTTTAATATATATATATATATATATATATATATATATATATATATATATATATATATATATATATATATATATATATATATATATATATATATATATATATAAATATATATA